TATCTTCAACCTTTTGTCCCGATTTTGGTGCTTTTATTGGAATTAAATGTATTTCACAGTAAAATATGGCCATTTAACACTGATATGACCATGTGTTGAGGTATAGGGAAGGAGAGGCTACTGTAAACTTTTTAGTAATGATTGAAGGTCCACTAATTTAGGGTGCCGCCTCCAGCAGTCCACAGAAGTCAGGCGTGATTTAACATCTCGCTGGCCTCTGGCACATACACAAGGATAAACAAACACACACACCAGTATGTGAGAAAGTGAAGGAAATAGCGACAGCGGCTGCATAAATGTGCCAGAAGTAGCCTGTAGCCATTGTTGCCTTACTAAAACATGTTAATAAATGTATGTTTTATTTACTGCACATTTTATTATATTGCATTAATGTGCATGTGTATGGTAACTTACATTCAGTCACTAGAGCCAGATGGCATTTGTTTCCACTACTTCTGACTCAAATAGGTCACCTGTCATGGGTTAAAACTCCAAGTCTTTCATTATATTGATGACATCATGGGCACGGAAACATTTCTAACTCACTTGATGAAAAGTATTACCCTCTGTGCAAGATGAGCTGCTACACTGTCCTTTCAAATGTGGTAAAAAAAACTACATTTGTTGACATCAGCCTGATCCTTTCTCATTCCCTGTCCACGTCTAACCTCGCTCTCTGGCTTGTTTAGAGACACTTTATCTGATGAGTTACAAACATTGTTCCTTCAAAACCATTTAGCGGCTCAGATGCCAGAAGATGGTGTGAGGGTCTGTTAAAGGTCAACAAGCGTTATTGCAGAGAGGCTCTTTATCAGTTCATCTGGACAATGTCAAAGGAGACCTTAGCTGTCTCGCTTGGCCACTCTGTCTTCATTTCACACAGCTTTACTCAGTCTGTGTGGTACTATAGCGGAGCCTAATGCAAGTTCTCTGTGACAGAATCATATTTCAGGCGGTCTTTGACTGGGACAGAGTTCTGGGACAACCAAGATGAATGTGGACGTTAAAAATTCAGGAAAATAAAGTGGTGCAGCTTACACATTTTGTAAGTCGACCAGGAAGTTGGCGTTGGAACAGGTCCCGCAACAAAAAGCAATGATATTTTACCATTGGATTTGTGGCAAACGCATGTTTATGATACTTTTTGTATGTTTTATTCAGCAGGATAATCGCCATATCAACACTGTGTTTTTGAATTTTGAACTGAAATGCAATTGCCAGAAGTAAAATCCAATTGACTACATGACAGTCGCATGAAGACATTTAGTAGTCTCACTTAATCACTTGTTATCAACAGCTTCTTTTCAAGACACATAGAAACTCAGAACAATTATGAGTTGGGTATTTAGTGATGTATTACTATTTTATGTCGTAGAACAAAACATTAAAATCTCTTAAGTTTGTATTAACGACACCTCATTTCAGGTCTCTAACCAAAAACATGTTCAAAAAAAAATCTTGACTTCCAGACAGAGAGATTCAAGAATTGGGAAAAAATGTAAACTAATTTCAGTGTTAAAGGACTCATTCCTTCACCACTGTATAGAAGTCACTTTTTAAAAAGGTAATGAACACAGTGCTGCTCAATCTTCCCTGCTGTTCTTTATTGTTTTATTTCTACAGAACAGAAGCCTTCTCCCGCATTACAGCACACACCATGTCCGAGTAAACATGCACACTTAGAGCCTGTATCCCCAAAGGAAGAGGAGTAGGGGGGGGGGGTTCAGCCATGTCAACGCACAAGAAATTCAATTAAGCAGACAGCAGGATGTCTCAGAAAAACCAAACCTCCTTTGAGCACAATATGCCCTCCAACAGTCCCCCACTACTCCACCTTGCATCTCCCTAACCAACCCCTAACCGCTGTTCAGACACTCCCCCAACACTAGCGAGACCCATTGAGGGCCCCCTTTTATTCACTCCTCTCCCACTGCCCCTCTTGCCTCTAAAGAGAGAGACTTTCAGATTTACATTTTCCAGAAACATTTAAAATCTATGAAACAGAAGCCTCAACCAACTGGTTTCTTTTACTCCTGGGAAAGAAAACACATTCATCCTACTCCTCTTCTTCTTCCTGTCCGTCTGTGCACGTCTGCAACCGGACAGATGCTGTTCATTTAGCACTCGAGTGGCAATCCTTGAGCTAGTCTCCTAAATACCCAGGGGGAGCAACTGGCATTTGGACAGCATTAAATAAAAGCCACTCTGCGGACCTCACACCGCAGCCACGTCTGACCTCACAACATGGTTACTCTGCTCAGATTTCAAGCAGCCAATTGAGTCAATCTGTGCCAGTGAAGAATGCTCTTACTAGACAGGCCTGGAGTAGCTAGTGTCAAACTGCGAGCAATTACATTTCTATCCAGACAGATTTTTAAAGGGGTATTCATTGCGAACAGTTCTGGATACAGTCAACTTATGAAGTTTTTCTTCAGGTTTCAATAAGTTTAATTTGGAACTTTTGGGACAACATAGAATGAAATGCAATACCCATTTGTTGAGGCCACACTAGAAGTTAAAGGAGCAATATTAGCCTATGAATGAAAACAGACCTAGAAATACTTCCGGTTCATGATTTTATTGACTTATTTCAACCATACAAAAGTCATATAAAACAGTGATCAAAATCTTAATTTAAGATGCCATGGTGACAGTCCCCATTAAGATAATGACGCACTCAATGGATGACTTAGTGGAAAACCATTCTTCACTTCTTCATCCAAACAAAAAAACTATTTTGATGACCCTCTTAATATTTGCAGATAACATTACAGAAGAGCGATCATTTTAAAAATCATATTCCGGACAACTTTATACTATTTTGTTGGACCTAAATGTAATTACAGACATCGTAAAATGACCCACTGTTATCTAATAGTAGAATAGAATCAATGTAGTATTGCTCTATTGTTTTTTTATATTGATTGATATCTTTGGCCCTGTCAACAGCAGTCCTGTATTTTCACACATGGACTTGTTTGCAATTATGTAAGAAGGATTTGTGATGCTCAGCTCTGTTAAAGACAAGATAGCATCAACGTCATCACCAATGTGTTGGTTTAAACAATGAAATATAATAAACCTCCTCTCAAGTGAGGCGGGTTTTTCCCATGCTGGCGTGTCATTGTGTGTGTGGGTATTTGTATCGTCAGTGATGAGCACAAAGAGCCTCAGGGGAACACAATGTCACACACATCGGGCGAAACAGCGGCTTAGAGAGGTGCTAGGCCTCTGCAGACACAATATTGCTGTTACATAATGACAGCCAAACGCCGCACCAAAAATGTGTGTGTTGGCATGTGAGTGTTTACGGATTAAAAAGGGCTGTTTTTTTCTTTCGTGCTTGTTTCCATTATTTTGTATTTGTTACCTTCACGGTTTTTAAAGTCCACAATGTCCCGGAATGTTCGATTGACAAAGTGACCTATGTGATCTGATTTGAAGCTGCTTGCTTTGAGCTGCCCCTTCCTTGTAAATCAGGCGAAATAAATAATAAAGTTTCAAATGGTTGGGGGATTTTTTTTCCTCCCATGAAACAGAATTTACTCCCCTTGCCAAACAGATCGTGGCGAGTTATCAGCCCATGTGCTAGCTAAACGAAGCTTAGTGTCCTCCTGTTCCATCAGGGCATTTTCATCCCAGCTTCAAGCTTTCAGCTATGTATTTAGGTCTTAACACAGGGACATTGATTTTCTGGTCCCATGCCATGCATTTCAAACGGGCCCTAAGCAGACATGAGTGCTCTTCCACAAGCAAAAAGGCAACAATGATAATCAGCGAATGACCCCTAAAAAATCAATATGCCTGTGTCCCCTTCTCTAAAAGCCATTAAGATAAGTCCCGTTCCTTAAGGACCACAAGTGCAGTGACCCAAATCAGTGCAGATTCAAATGATGGGGTAGCGTGGGACTGAAAAGGCCACTTAAGGATACTGTGTGTGCATAGTGTGTGTGTCATAATCACCCCAATCAAGACCTTACTGTGAGGTTAAGCCAAGACCCCACATGCTAATCCCTCACAGCAATTTTGATCAGCATATGGTGCAATCACCACTGACTGTATTATATATGAGGAATGAAACTGAGGAGATGAATACAGATGTGATGGGCCAGTGGTGTTTTAAAAGTAGAACCACATAGAAGTGTAAGGAATAAAGTATAATTTCAAAAGTTGTATGTTTTATGTCAGGGGTAACTTTTTCATCCATCCAACAGTTTTGACCATATAGATGAAAAAACTATTAACATTTGACCAATGTTTAAAGGAATACTTTAACCACAAATGACAATTTCTTTTATCAATTACTCTCCCTGTGTTTCTTTGAATTCTGGAAGAAAAAACTGGATTTACTCGCACATCTCTATAGAGAATAAGTTTTATTTTTTTAAAGTCTAAATTACTGGGGGTAAAAGGGGGATGGTTTTACAAAAGCAAAACTATATCAAAATCTGTTTACAACTCTTACATAACTTGTACAGTACAATCCAAGTGTTTATGCAGTCATATGCTCACTACTTCACAAACATATGAATTTTCAATTAAACTTCAATAATTATTTTACTTCAGACTCACACAAGTGTCAGACGGTTTATGGGGTGTTTAAAGAAGGTACGTTTTTTGTGAAAATGCATGCTTGTTTGAAGAGTAGAGCATATAGTTAAATGAAACTTGGATCATACTGCACAAGTTGTGTAAGAGTTTTTAAATGGATGTGTTGATAATTCAGTTGTTTAACGCAGCACTCATTGACCTAAATTCCTCAAGTGTTTTCACCAGTTTTTAGAAAACAAGTCTTTGAAACTTGCAAGAAGTGTTTTCTTAATGTTTCCCTTTTCCCCAAGGTAACATTGGGTGAGTAATTGATATACTTTTGGTCATTTTGTTGGTGATATGTTGTTTTAATGTAAGGCCTTATTGATTGGACTCTGGGGCATCACTGTGTTAGGTCTGCCAGGACAGCCAGGTGTGTTTCCACAGGTGGATGGAGTGTGTGTACTCACCATTAAGACCATTTGGGATGCTCCTGTGGTGGTGCGGTGCTGACAGGTCATCCATCGACCTCCTTATGGTGGTGCCTAGCTTACTGCTCTCTGTGGCGGGCTTGTGTATGTGGTTGTGATTGTGGTGATCTGGGCTCCCAGCACTTCCTGTGCTGGATGTGCTACTCCCATCTCCAACATCCCTGACGGTGCCGGTACCCCCGTTCAGGTTGGTCAAACTGGACTGACTGTCTATTGAGCTCCTGGACCCCGCTCCGTTCCTCTCCTCATCCAGCATGAGGATGATCTCCTTCAGCTCAGAGTTCTCCCTCAACACGGTGTCCTGGTTGGCTTCCAGCTCCTTCAGCTTCATCATGTAGTTGCCCACCTCCTTCCACATGTTACTGGCAGTGAAGCGGCCGAATCGCTGCCACTCCCGGGACAGTTTCTTGCCCTTCTGTCGGTCATCGTCCAGGAAGCAGCAGAGCTCCCGGAGCTCATGGTTGTCGTCCTGCAGCTTCTGGTTGATCTCCTTCAGGCTCCGGATCTCGTGCAAATGCACCTGCAGCCTCCGGTTGATGTCTTTCATCATGTTGCCATGATCGATCATCAGGTTCATTTTCTCGCCGTCAACCTTCCTTAATCTCCGGACCAGCTCCTCTTTGCTGAACCGAAGCACCTCCTCGTCCGTCATCTGGCTCACCTCATCCTTCGCTCCCTCGGACGGATTTTTAGCCATGGCTGTCTCTGGCTGAGTCTCAGATCGTGTAAAAACGGAGGCTTAAAATGTGTTGTCAAAACTAAATTAACAGAGCCTCAGTTGCGGGATTGTGTTAAAATACATTGTCCAAAATATGAAAGCATCGTTATGCCCTCCTCTTCAACAGGCCGATAATTAAAAGGAAATATTAATGTGATGCTATGGCAACCCTAGATGAACTGAATGCCCTCACAATGTACTCACATTCCGTCAATAACAGAAACTCATGATTTAAATCGATTAATTACCATGTACTTTCAATTAGGTCCTGGTTCCCATCAACATTCCCATAGCAATGTGCGCCCTCTCCTCTGGACATCGCTCCATTCAAACGATGGTAAACAGAAAGCGAAACAATTCAAATAAGCAGATTTGAGGTAAAAAATAAAAACCGTCGCGTAAACACGAGCCAATTGTAAAGTCCACTCGGTGCTCTCCTGTACGCGTTCACCGTCAGCAACGCTCCTCGGATAAGCTTCTTTGCTGAGGTGGTGCGTTTGCGGACGGAGGATTCAAGCCTTTCCACTCAGCCTGCTCGGAAATAGCAGCCCACCCCCACCTTCTTGTCCAAACACTCGGGTTCGGTTTGAAACGTTTGAAATCATTCAAGAGGATTTCGGCCAAGACGGCCAATCAAGACGTAGCAGAGCAGTATGCAGCAGCAGGTAGATGAACAGCGCGGAGAGGCTCGCGGGGTTCAGGCTCAGCCCTCTTAAAGGAACAGACACCAGTTGGACTGGCAAAAAACAAAAACACATCATTATTTTTTTTAATAATTAATTAAAAATACATCAACAAAGCCCTAGAAAATGGCTTCGAACTAATTGTAATAATATGTATTACCCTGACATAAATTATTCAATTACTAATTTATATAAACGTCACTAAACACTAAACACATAAGCATTGTGTGTATTTATTAGTAATACACAAATAAATGTGTACCTCTAAAAAAAGCAGTTTTATAAGAAATTGTAATCAAATTTTAAACAATGTGAATTTATCACTGAACAACCCTATCTTGTGACAAAATATATTACAATTAAATAAAACTAGACACCATCTTGCCATGCTATCACACTAACCTCGACATCAAATAGGCCAGGGCATCCATGGGCCAGGGCCGTAAAGTGGGGGGACCAATGGCCACCTTCTCCATTTCCTGCCCCACTGCTTCCAGCGCCCTTGCTCAGACCACACCCATCTTTGAACACCTTAAAAAGGTAAGTGACACCATATCGTACCAGGGGCAAAAAGTGATGGGGAAAAAGGGCCCCTTGCCATCCAAGCCCATTTTCATACTGGACATTCATTTTGATCTCAGTTACACATCTGTAAAGTTTTGTGGTTGCATCTTGCCAGTCGCAACCTTATTTATGTGACATAATCTGTCAATAGACAGATATAGAAATATAAACAATGTGAATGACTCAAATCATTGCTTGCTAGGTGTCTCCAGGAGCACATTTTGAAATAGTGCACATACTACAATACTCATAAAGTGAAAAGAATACCAACGCCGCTATAGTGATTGGGAAACTTGGGATAAGCAAAGCTTGTGTTAACTTTTGATAGTTAATTGTCAGGGAATTTAAGTTTAACAGGTGCTTTTGACATTTCTTTGCAAGGTCACAGCGCCCCCCTGTGTACATTGTCAGTAATGCCACAGCAGGTTGACTACATAAAAAACTGGGTATTAAATAAAATCATATTACCAGACATTCAAATGATCTTTGGTTTATTAAAGTGCAAAACAAACACAAAAATAAGATTTAACCTTTTTTGCATCAGTGAAAATAATTTCTTAATAATTATTTTCATTTATGTAAAGTTGGTCAACTCTGCATTTTAGCGTTCCAGGCACAAAACAAGCTCAGTGTGTATGGAAGAGCAGTGAGTTAGAAATAAACAGTAGATTCCAACAAGACTAAAAAAGCAGTTCAAGTGCATTCCCATATCCTCATTAGTGTTTGTAATATATCAGTAACTACCATAACTGTTTTTAGATAGATTGTTATTGTAGATATACTGCTATGATTAAATGATATCATTAAAACCAGCCCCATTAAAATAATAAGTAATAATACAATTATGCAGCATAAGGGTCTTTTGGTTAAAGCAAGGGTACAAATTTGCAAGCAGTAAACAAGCCTTAGCAACCTAATTTCACTACATTATAACCATCTTCTTATGTGACAGTACATTAAGACCAGCTATGTATTGTGCTTCCTGTGTCTGATAGAGCACACCACTCCACTCTTCGGCCTGAGGGTGCCATTGTCCAAGATGTCAAAGTTCTGTCCCGGCGAAAGCGTAAAGTCAAACCTCTGGATCAGCTTGGCCATTACCAATTTCGCTTCCATCTGCAATCGCCCCACCACCAACAACGCATTGAGTTATTTCAAGGTGTTCCTATGTTGTATTTGTTATAAATATCGATGACTGTGTCACAACCCACCTGAGCAAAGTTCTGTCCCAGGCATGCACGTGGGCCGAGGGCAAAGGGGAAGTAGCAGTAATAGGGCCTTGTAAACAAGATAGACAAGACACATTAAGTACACACCTTTTTCTTGTAGAAAAAAGCATTATATGAAAGTTGTATGATACTTACTTGGGAGCATCTGGGTGAAATCTGTCCGGATCAAAGGTCAGCGGGTCCTTGAAGAATTGTTCCATTCTCCCGGTCGTATACGTGTTGAACTGAATTTCAGAATAATTGATTGAAGATTTGTATAGCATGTCATGTCATAATGGTTTGTAAGTATTCAAAAAATATTTTGTACTGTTTGTTTTTTAAAGTTATGGTTGCCATTGTTCTGACACACACTTCCTGCTTTAGAGGTACTCACAAAACACACGGCCCCTTTAGGCAACTTGATACCGTCGATGACAGTGTCTTCCGGTATTGCACGAGTAGTGCCTGGAGCTGTCGGGTATAGCCTCAGAGTCTCTTTTAGCACCTGGTGGGAAGGTTACAGTGTGAAGTGTACATCCTGAGTCAATTACTTAAAAACAATAAAGAATAAATGATTCAAGCCAAATTTCAGAGAAGAGGCAAGTTATTGATTCATCTATTCAAGTATAGTATTGCAAACTAATGCAGCATTATTCGCGACGGGAAACGATTCGGAAGCATTAATGTACTTGCTGTCTGTAGCCAATTTGCAGTCCTGATAGTATTGACCAATCATGTTTGGTTTGGGGCTTTGGTTGCATTCAGGTTAACATTCCGGTTGGAGGTCACAAGAGGCAGAATGCATTGGTCGAAATGTGATCTTGGAACCAATCTGTAATTTCTATTAAGCTTTTTCTTGGTTTCATTTCATTAGATTTATCTGCATTTAAATACGGATATTTGATTATAGATTAGTTATTTACGTTGTCTATTAACTCCATTTCGCATCTAACTGACTCTAACGTCCTGAACAGAAAAAAGGGAATCTTAGCTGGGATATTGGATCTGGTATAAACTTATATAAAAATATTTGTAGTGCTAAATTGATGGCTGAGGAATTCTGAAATTACTTAACAATTTGGTTACTGGTCTACTGTAGATTAAAGTTGTATGTTTTAGATGACTTGAGTCAGAGAATGATTGAATTAATTAATAAATGAAAATAGGAGTAAGTTTCAAAATGGCTTCTCAACATGCTTCACTCCTAAAAAGCTTAACATTGCTTCCTAACTTGTGTACCTGTGAGAGGTAGATCAGTTTTCCCAGATCGTCATAAATGATGATCTTTTTCATCCCAATTACGTCATCAACCTCGTTCTTTAATCTGAAAAAAAATAACACAACTGAAGAAACCATCATTTCCAAGCTGCAGTATGAAACTGTTTTGCACTGCATGTTTAAACGCCATATAAATAACATGTATTATTATTATTATTATTATTATGTTTTGTTCTTACTTCTCCAGTATGTCAGGATGTCTTGTAAGTTCCTGGATGCAAAAAGCCAGCTGATTGGCAGTTGTTTCTTGCCCTAAAAGGTCAGAACATTACCTTTAAAATGTTGCTAATTTTGGATAAACGACACACAATTAAGTGATCCTCATCTCTTAAAAGAACATTTCACCTCAATAAATTATAACATTTAGTAGCCAAACTTAGTTGTGATAATAATAATACATATACTGTACATGAGAACTTACCGATGTCATTATACCAAAAATATTAAAATATTGAACCTCAAATCTCTAATAGGTAACATTAAAATGTTGGGTGAAGTGTTATTCTTATTTTGGAGCTTTTTAGACAAAGCAGAAACAACACAGACTCACCAGCGATGAAAAATGTCACAAAATTGTCCAACATCAGCTCCTCATCTTCTGAAGTCATGCTGTCCTCTGGGAAATAAGAAATTAGATTTGAAGAAGTAAACCAATGTGGAAGCCATCAACTATAACTGATAAAGAAGCCATGACCCTGTTAATCAAGATAAATCAAACAGACCTTGATATGAGCAGTTGTATATAGGAACTGTTCTCTTTCTACCACGCTACCCCTAAAATGCTGCAGGAGCAAGTGTGATTCTACCCAAGGAAGGGTTGTCTCTTGTTGATGGTTCATAATTAACCGATACCACTAACTCCGTTAGCATCAAGGTGCTAGCTAATGTTAATGTGATGTAATGAGTAGAGATGGCAGGTGTAGTTCGGTAGAAAATAGTTCGTACATGCTACTGCTCACAACAAGGTCTGTGGATCATCTTTTGAAAGCGGGTCATGATTTCTTGAAAAATACCTTGCTGTTGAGATTTATAAAGAAATGTTAATCATAATTTGAGAGAAGGCAGACATCTCTATGGAAAATATCCCACACTTAGTAAATCACACAGAAACAATCAAAACTAACAAATAGTACTCTAATATGAATTATTGATTTTGGTGTGTGTGGTGTATCTGAAATGATTGAACATTACCTTTGCCAGCTGTTTTGATGATCTGTGTGAGGATGTCCTTCGGGACGTCCTCGCCGTTTAGCATGGCAGTCTTTCTTTCATTTATCCACTGAGTTCCAGTTGCGCGCAGCAGGCGGCAGGCTTCCTTCACTTCTTTAATGAACGGTTGGTTCTTGGGATAGTACTAAAAATGAAACAAATGTGGGTCTCACACAGTTTTTGTCATAACCACATAAACTCCATACAAACTTGCTGTGAAGTCATACTTCAAAAAAGATGTCTCTGATGTTGTAGATCATCCCCTTCAGAGTTAACTCGATGGCTTTAGTAAACACTGACTTATCCTTAATTTGGTCTAGATCCACACCAAAGGCAATCTGAGTGTCAAAAAGAAAACAAGGAAGTCTTTCAGATTCACAACCTGGTGAATTGTGTCACATGCAAGAACAACTTGTTGGATCAGGGCTAATGAAGTCTAGGCTCTAAAACCGTGAAATAATACCTTAGCGATAACATCAAGGGTAACAGAGTTCATCAATTGGAGCATGCTGGCCTCCGCTTGGTTATCAGCGACATCTGTCAGTTTTGTCATCAGCTTCTCTGCCCTCTCATCGAAGGTGTCCATTAGACCTCTCAGATACCTGGAAATAAAGGTAGTTTTGGGCAGAATCTAAAATGACTGCAAACACTGCACGTAAAATAAAGGTTCAGCAAATATTTGTATTGTGTTGGTTTGTGATTATTAAATAACTTACAAGCTGCTGAACGCTGGGTCCATGATCCGGCGCTGTTTATACCACTGTTCATGATCTTGTGCTGTTACCAGGCCATTACCTAGGAACCTTGAAAAGAGAACATTAAAAAGAAAGACTTTCAAAAGGTTCAGAAATACACATCACAAACACTTGTAATCATTATTAATTCAAAGTTCTTGTTGCAGTATTTATATCACTATGATATGTATGAACAGGAGCGCTAATCTGACTATGTAATATATTACCTCATACCAAACAGATTGCCGATTTTCTTGTAGGAATAATCTTTCAGATACTTTGGGGACATCAGGATCTCCTGAAATGGAGCCATCAAAAGAGGGTACATTGAACGACAAGGTGTTATACTACCAGGGATAATGCATCTCCGTTATTTGCAATAAGGACAATAGATGCTAAACTTTTGCACAGTGTTTGTGCAATGCAACTGACACAATTACCATTGCAATCTGTTGGTTGTTTACCTTGGTTCCCTCTGGGCTGGTTACAAGGACTATGATCCGATGCAGGAGATTTATCCTGCAAACAGGCCCGTAATTCTCAGACCTGTAAATTACATTTTAATTATGGGTTTGGATTGCAAACAATACATCTGGTTACACCCAAAGGCGGTCACGATATCAATCAGGAATAGCAGAAGTAATGACAACTTAAACTTGTAGAAGCTGTATAGACAAAGAGTAATAGCAATCGCACTCAAATGTAGTTAACAGACATTAACTTAGTAGGAAGTAACACACTAGCCCATTGCAGCCTAATGGTCAACTTGTAGCCTACACCTAACGTTATTTACCTACTGGTGGTGCCTTCGACATAAATTGACAATGTTTGCACAATTACACACTTTCTAGGCTGAACAATCTCTTATGCTTACCATTCCAGAAATGTGTCGTGTATAACGTCACCATTTTTCAATGCCCTCAAAAACGTTGGAATATGTCCGAGGAGAAAACTGGGTGATGTGAAAGCAAAAAGTGGCATGTTTGACATCAAAATAGTTAGAGCTTAATTTAAGATGGATAGGTGACGAGAAAACAAGTAGCCTAATTTAGCGTTAAATACGCTAACTTTAAGCAACGACCTAATGTACTTACTTGTCTCTCGGTGGCCCAGGTATATAGTCATATGCCATATGAATGTATTTCATGTACAAGCAGAAACCAAGGAACGCTATGAAAAGCAGAAACAGCAAAAACAAAGCAGTCCAGCTCAAAATCACATAGAAAACTGCCATTCTGGTAACCTTATGCTGACAGTCTAAACACAATCGTAAGTGTCCTCGGGTCTTGCAACTTCGTCGTGTTACCGATTAACTGGTGGCGGAACTTCCTTATTGCCTTTCACACGGCACATATATTTCATGGAAAAAACTTGTTATCAGATTTGCAATGGATTTGGCTTCATAGCTCAGTGGTTAGAGCACTAGTCTCATAAACCATTGATCGCGAGCACGATCCCCGCTGGGGCATGGCAAGATGATGTTTTTCAATTTATGTAGCGACTGTGTTACCTGGTTGTACCTTTATAGCATGGTGGTTCGTTTAATTTTAAATTTGCGATGTTCACGATGTCGTAATGCCTCCTGGAAGCATAGAAACTGCTGCTTATAAGCATTTAGATGATGATGATTGACAAATCAGATTCACACTAACTTCAGTTCACACACAGATAAAAGTTTTCACAAATGTGAAACTTTTAACTAAACTGTACTGCCTCCGACCTCAGAAATCATCATCAGTTTCAGACGGGAAATTCCTCCAAGACAGAAAATAGGACAAACGTTGCCAAACGGAGCATAGGACTACGTAGATAGATGCACTTCACACATCATATCCCCCACGCTTTCACCTCATCTGGTGAAGCGAAAACCCTCCTTTGGTTCATACAATTACACACTCATCTCAAGGCGCACCGGAAGAACTAATTGTTTGAGTCAACACAGCATTTCACATAGGCTTAACAAAGAGATTGATATAGAAGTGATAGGCCAAGTGATGCAGATGGACATTGTTGGGCACTTATGTTTGCTCGTCTAACTGTATTGGCATCATTGAACACATTCTAGAGTGCTAAAAGGTGGCTAAACGGTGGTGACAAAGTAAGCACAAAAGATGCATTGACGCATTAGTCTGTACATAAAACTATTTGTAACAGGGAATACAATGATTCATATATCTAAAAAAGCCATGGCGATACACATACTATAGGATTATTTTTACTTGTTAGTAACTCTTCAGAGTCGCATATTTACAAAGAACATTACGCTCCTGTGTTAAAACATTTTTAAGTCCACTTAATTTAACCCTTTAAAGTTATCACCAAGAAAAAAGCAATGAAAAAAATCTTTCTATACATTTTGTATTTCCATGAGCAAATAATACCAATCAATGTTTTTTTTTTACAAAGGACCCCACAGTTTTTTTATAGGCCTCTAAGAAATGGTTGAGATGAGAGAAAAGGGGAATATTTAAGAATCTGCATAGATTTGATTGCATTATACTGAAAGAAAATATATGTCTATGCATACATGACTGCGACAGTGTTCAGTTTATGAACATGACTGCACTGTAAAATGTTTGGCTGTAAAATTACAGTAAATGACTGGCTACTAGTTGCATGGATTTCACAGTAATTTACTGTAAATATTTCACAGTAATTGACTGTAAATATTTCACAGTAATTTACTGTAGATATTTTACAGTAAATTAGAATAAAAGTACAACTAAATACTGTGACTTTACAGTTGCCATGCCCATGGAATTACTGTGATATAGCAGTACAGAGCTGTGGTATTATGGTACCTTGCTGTACATAGATTACAGTAATTACTGTATTTTCACACTATTACTGTAGAAGTAATGCAACACAGTAGCCAGTAATTTACTGTAAATATACAAATGTAAATAATACGATAATATATTGTAAATTTGACTAGTTAACTAGGATTTTACCATAACTACACAATTCAATCAGCTCAATCACCAAAGAAAAACAAAGAAAATGCCCATTTTAACTTTGTATTACTCCATTGAAGTGCAAAGTACATTTCACAGTGTCTTGGACATGTTGTTACGGCCCCAACCTCTACTCCGCGGTAGTGGCTCGTGTTGAGACCCGCAACATGAAAAATACACGCAATAACCGGGAGGAAAAAGAGGTCTGGAGGACTGGCCAAAAGGAACAAACAGAAGGAGGGAACCCGAGCCAGCCACACCACGGACCGTAGGACCCAGAGCTCGGGGCCCCCCCTAACCAGAAATCAAATATAAACCCTGTGGGAAACAAAATAAAGCTGCGAATACTGGACTACCAGGGGGTGTTATACTACGAAGCAGGATTTTCGCTTAGCCGGCTAACTTCGGGGTTTCCGGTGTTGTGTCAAATTATGCTGGAATCCGATTAGTGTGCGCACGCTGTATATTGTTCTTAAAAGTTACCGAAAGAGTTGTATAAAGTTGTCCGTAAATTTAAGTCTCAAGATGTAAGCTAACAAGTGATGCTGTTATTTATGAATCTGAATCGTGGAAACCCTAACCTACCTACGTGAAAGAACCGACGGATTTTCGTCACCAAGGGATGGAAAAAGGTCTCGGGGATGTTTACTGAGGCAACCTGCATACGTGGGGGGGGGGGGGGGGGTAGTTCGTGATGAGTTCTTAGATGTTGATGGGTACAGTCGGTGATCGTACTTAGCACTTTCATAAAACAATTTCCTGTCTACTTCGTATTAATTCGTCGTGATAACCTCACTGAAACTACCAATGAACTGAGTCCTACTTACATTAAAACCATGGGCGACATACTTCTTAATTCCCTGCCGCGCCTATCACCTTTGTTAAGTGTTTTGCCCTAATTGACTAATTTTGTGTACGAGTTTCATTCGCCTATAAACGCTTCCAAAACTACCTAAGTTTTCAGCAGTTATAATTGTTTTTTACCTTCCTCTGCTAGGACTATCTCGTTTACACTGTTTATTTAGGTTGACTTTGCCTACCTTTCGATACAAAATTTTTTTACGCGAATAGGTTCTTTTCGGCCGAAACGCTGGTGCAATGTTCCCGTCATGCTTTTTTAAGGATAATTTCTTTCCTTTAATATTGAAAGACAGAAAAGTACGAAATTTATCGATGATGAACTTAACAATAAGTTAATTAGTTAATAAAAGTTTATACAATAACATCACATCTCTGTTCCGAAAATCACTGTTAGATATAGACGAATATGTTACATATAATATTTTTTATTTATTATTTTTTCCAGATTATACTATAATACCGGAGTTTATAGACTTCCGGACCCGGGGGACGCTAGAAACCACGCGGGGGGTCCAGCCCTTGGCGTACCGGATCGCAATCGTAAGATGGAGACTCGGACGTAAAGGACCGGATAACGGCCGGACAAAGGGAGAGTACGTCCTCCTGAACTATTAAGTTCGTCTTTGGTCCTAACAGAGCAGGGAAGTGTAGATATTTACATGCGTCCCCACTACAGAGAATTAAAGGTATTTGTTCTATTTTATTCTGGTGACGTCAAAGGATGTAGTCGTGGTCTATAATTAAGTAATGACACTACATATTACACAACCGTTAACGTCCGATCGGGAGTCAGTATAACAAAATAAAGACTGAGCCTACTTATTTGGTCCGGACAGTAGTTTCGGGGGTGGGGGGGTTTTTCATTCTACAAGATAATTTAGGGTGGGAGTTCGGATAAAAAGTTCCCATACCAAGATCCTACAGTGTTATTTTCACAAGAAATCTTTACGCGCAAGGGCACTGTTTCCCCCTAAAATACG